CCCTAATGCGAACGGGGGAAGATGAAGGTGTGGATTCAGAATCCCCAATGTCTATACGTTCGGGAGTAGATGAAGTACTCATAATGAAAGATTGAAGAGAAAGATGCGGAAAAAAAAACTAACCGGACAAGGCAATGGAATGAAGAACGCAGGAGTGCAGCTAGGGCGAATGTAACTCTTGCAGAATCTTATACGACGGAGTAATAATGAAAGTCCTCGAACCGTCTCTGAAGCAAAGTAAAAAACCGGTTTCAATTCCCTCTTTAATGGGAACCGTCACTCAATTAAAAATGAAATTTGGGGCAAAGTGTGGAGGGAAAAAACTCCTTCCAATAAGAAGCGTACACGTCATCACTACACATATCTACATTCCAAGGACATATGAGGCCCGTCATGCTCAAGCCCAAATTGAGTGTATTTTTAGCCCAAGACCATTGTTATTTGTCTCCCAACCTCCATCAAGGCCGAATCAAGAGGTCATCAGCCCAACTTGTTAATATTTAACATCCGGTCCGTTATTCAAGCCCAGCCGGATCAAAGTATGTTCAGCCCAGTTATTCAAGAATGCACAAGTCCTACCAGTTGAAGGATTTACCATAGAAGGAAAATTCTGAGATAGGAAGTTCTGTACAAGGCAAGTTCTATGTATGAAAAATTAGACAATGGAAAGAACTTTATTAGTAAAGAATGTTTATATAGAAAGAATTGGAGGACAAGCAACGCGAGTCTTACCATAATTTTACAATCTTTTGTATATAAATAGAGGCTTAGACCTCCAATAGAGGGATCAAGCAATTCTACGCTTTTCTATACACTATTCTTATTTATTCTTATTGTTTTTGAGTGAGTTGTTTGATTTTTCTCAATCATTATTGGTTGAGCGGAATTTTGCACCTACACTACTATTATTACTAAAAAAAACAGTGAGGAAGAAAAGATTCTCCATAAAGCTTGGGAGAGATCGAACAGATTAAACATTATGGTTACGCGAATAATTGTTCCCCATAGTGATAGTGCTAAGGAATATTTGATTATAAGAATGTTTTCGTATTGTAGATAAATATCTAAAACTAAAATTATTAATTGATATAACTACTATGCATTTTTTGTTGGTACTCGTACCATGTATGATCGTATTTTTAGATGACTAATGTTGCTGTAAAATTAAGAACCTTATGGATGATTGTGAATGAGAGTTTTCTTATTCAATTTATTCTCAGTTTCTTGTTTATTCAGTATGGGTCATTTCGAATTAACACTATTAAGACAAGTGGTAGTGAATGAATTGACTATTATGTTAATTTAGGAGGAGACAGGGCTTAAGCAGCAAGTAATCATTAAGTTCATCTCATGACTCAAGAAATTAGAAAGAAATTTGGGAATAAGCCTGAAAGGGCATTAAGTGAGCAACACCCAAAATTAAAAAGATTTAGATCAATCTACTAAAAGAAAGGAATGTAATAATGAAAAAATGTCATTAATGTATTTAACACTTTTAGAAAGATTACATGACATATAAAGAATGATTCAAAAAAGAAAAGTACGCTTTTGGTTTTTGTATATTGCGAATTACTTGTTGAAATTCTTTTTAATACATGATACGTTGACTTAAGTATTAATATTTATGTTTCTAATAGATGCAAGAATTTTTTATGGCCTAAACCACAAATTCAAATAAGAATTTCTTATTTATGATAATTGGGAAAAAGTTTTGTTGAAACCATTGTGACACTATGTTTAATGTTAGATAATGGATTTTATTTAAATTATTTTAAAAATTTTATATTTATTCAATTTCCCATAATTTGATTTTATTTCAAAAACTTTATGTTAATGTTTTTCATTTAAATATGGTAATGATATTTATTTAAGAAATTATAATTTGTAAGTTATGGTATTATTGTTGATGATTTCTGTAAATTCAAATTTAATGGTTTATTTATTAAAATCCTTTTGATCTTGTATCATAATGTTAGAATTAAGCGTAGCTCAATTAATAGAAAATTTATCTTTGGCATAAAAGACTAGGTCAATATCTAGTGAAAGGTTAGGAAAATTAGTAAAGGATGTGATTCTTCTTAATCTAAACTTTACTGATTTTGATGTGCGTATAGATTGTATTAAGGGTAGACAAACTAAACGCACAAAGAAATGAGCCACAATAAGTACATAACTTCTTGAAATTATTATTTATAGACCTTCTGATGTTCCATTTTTTGGAGTAGAAAAATATTTTATCGTCTTTATAGTTGATTTTTCACATTATGGATATATCTATTTGTTTTATGAAAAATCTCAATCACTGGGTACTTTTGAACTCTTAAAGTATACATAAATGAGGTTGAAAAACAATTACATAGAAAAGTGAAAATCATAAGGTCATATAGAGGTGGAGAATATTATGGAAAATATGATGAAACGGGTTAATACTCTAACCGTTTGTTAAACTCCTTGAAATATATGGCATTTGTGCTTAATACACTTTGTTATACATGCCACAGCAGAAGCGTGTAGCTGTAAGGCGTAATCGTACTCTTATGGAATTGGTTAGGAGTATGTTAAGTAATTCATCGTTACCCATAATGTTATGGATGTTAAGTAATCTAAAGGGTACAAGTTTTACTATCCTAAATATAGTACGATAGTTATTGAAACCGGTAATGACAGATTCATTAAGAATGGTGAAATTAGTGGGAGTGATAAAAATAAGAATTTGATCATTCCAGAAGTTAGGGTACAAATGTCTTTACCCATAACTTCTAAGGAAATAATTGTTCATTCAGTTGTTGAACCATATAATAACGAAAAACAATTAAATAATCAACAACTCTATAATGAGATTGTCACCAATGAATAGATTGTAGAAGAATCATAAGGAATAACATTAAGACGATCTCAAAGAGAAAGGAGATCTACTATTCCGGATGACTATGTGATATATCTGCAAGAATTTGTTTTTGATATATAGTGAGATATATACGGATCCGGTTACATATTCACAAGCCATTAACAGTAATGATTTTCCTAAATGAATTAGTGTCATAAATGAAGAGATTATAAAGAAACCTTCTCTCTAGTATTTAAGAAGGAATCTTTAAAATATCATGGTATTAATAACTTATTATGATTTAGAGTTACATTAAATGAATATGAATACAACTTTTATGAATGGGAGTTTATAAGAAAAAGTCCATATGGAACAATCTGAAGGCGTTATATTAGAAGGTAAAAAATTCATGGTCTATAAACTTAAGATGTCAATATATGGATTTAAACAAGCTTCCTAACAATGGTATATTAAGTTTAATGATACCATTATTTCTTTTAATTTTAAGAAAAACACTGTTGATAAGTGTATATACTAGAAGGTTAGTGGGAGTAAGTTTATATTTCTGATTCTGTATATTGATGATATTTTATTTGTTAGTAGTGATCTTAGTTTATTATATGAAACTAAAAGTTATCTTTAAGAACTTTGAAATGAAATATATGGATGAGGCATCCTATGTGATAAGAATAGAAATATTTCATTATAGATCACATTGATTTGTTTTTAGAATTGTCTCATAAAGCATATATTAAAAGAGTTCTAGAAGATTTGGTTGGAGGAATAATATTATGAAAAAGTGCAAAGTAATTTATGATTACTTTGTCTATTATGAAATTTTAATTTGTAGCATACTTTGAGACTATAATTTATGGTTGCAGAATTTATTTCAGGACTTGGAGTTATGGGTACCATTTTCAGATTGCTGAAAATTTATGCTGCAATTGTTGATCTTCTTGTATGAAAAATGATAGGTATTCTAAAGTTAAAATACTTTATCATTAAAGAAGATATTTAGAAATAACAAATGTCTATTGTAATTATAAGCACACAACTTATGATTGCAATCCATTAATGAATAGACTACCATCCAAGACATTTATGGAACATGTTGAAAAAATGGGTCTTAAATGTAGTCAATGATGATTATTTTTTAATTGTGGATTGCTTAAATATTGCTTATATATATTTGACATTTTGCGCTGATTAAATGTGTTTATGATATTTCCTATTAATTAATGTACATGTACGTATTGCTTTAATAAGTGGTAATAGGAATAGTCTTGGAAAAGACATTATTGTTAGATCATTATTGATACTTCTCATTTATAGACTATGTTGAATAAATTACTAGTGTTGTGGTACATGAAAGGGACTGTGTCATTTAAGGATATATAACCGCCATAACTCGCATTGGTAATTTATTTACCATTGGAAATTATCATATGTGCCAAGTGGGAGAATGTAAGATTATTTATTTAATTGTGGCCCACATGATTTGGATATGTGACATATTACTTGGTGGCTAAGTAAATAGATATCAATTAATATTATTTATTTTTAGTCAACTTATAATTATCTTTTTGGTAATTACTTATTGGAGAAGTGTTTTCCTTTTCATTCCTTACTTTGATGGAAAGTAAAATTATATTACTAAAAGGAAAATTGGTCATCTCTCTGTCTTTATAAAAGTGCATATATTTCATCAATTATGTACAGTTAATGATACAACACGTAAAAGTTTTATGTGTGCAAAAGGCCAAGAGAGAGAAACCAGTTTCCACCTTTGCCTGTTGATCAGAGTTGCAGATTAGTTCGTGGCAGAAAGGATCTCGATGTTGGACTTGATCTCTAAGATATTTGCAATCACAGATCGAGGTATTTATATCTAACTATATTTATTTATGCGTTATAGACTATGTGAAAATAATGAAGTTCTAAGATTATGGAATTCATATTTATTTGTGATTAATGGCTTAACACGAATAATTATAGTTTACACTTAGAATTGGATGCCAAAGATGGATTTGTTTAGCTGGGCAAAAATGATGATGATTCAAGATTTTACCTTGAAATGGAAGTATCTTATGTGTGAGACAGGTCGTGAACATTGGTCAGTCAGGCCCTTCAGATGTGTGTGTGTGTGTGTGTGAGAGAGAGAGAGACAGAGACAGAGATCAAGCTTCGTACATTAATTTTGTAAAGTTTATGTACATTTAAGTAAAGCCTAGATTTCTATTTTCAGTGTATTGCACAAGAAATAATCAGAATGGACTTGTACAAGAAATAATCAGAATGGACTTGTACAAAAAATGATCAGAATGGACATGTTATCAATAGGAAAATCATCATCTTTCTTCGGTAATCTCTCTAGTGATCGGTGTAGTGATCGGAGTGTCAGGTTCTGTTGTTGAGAACCCTTCATCCTGAGATAAAAATCCATCTGAATTGTGGAAGAAGCTGATGGCTGGACTTTGTGCGCCATGGGGTGTAACATCTAGTGGAACCGCATTTCCTGAGTCCATTGCAGGCCCTTCATTATTCGTACTTGTCTTCTTGGATGCATCAGATGAGTTTTCTTTTTCCTCATCAAAAATCTTGGCAATTGCAGTTAGCTTTTGCCAGATTGATTCATTCGAGGTTAGAATGTCTTTGTTCTCGTGTAGGAAGATGAAAAAGTACATGATGAGAGCAAAGGATGAAGACACGCCAGCAATGAGGAAAAGGCCCCTAAAACTGTCGAGTGTGAGGCTATCGGAGGTGACGATGGTGCCATCTTGCTCCGCACAATCAGCTTCATCCCCTAACCATTTCCTTGCAAGTCTGGCCATTCCATCCCCCTCAGTTACATCCAACACCCTTCTTGAAACATCAGCTACAAAAGGAGAACCCTTTGGAAATGCCTGCAAGTTTGAAACAAAGAGAACCTGGATCATTATGAAATCCTTCAAAAGGTATATGTCAGCAGGTCTATAAATATATATTGCCAAAATACCATGAAAAACACGATATATGTGAATCAGTTTAGGCACCACCAAACTATCTAGCTAGGTAGAAAGTTCGAAGTTCTAAAGGCTTATTGCTATGTAATCAGGATATGGTGTGAAGTACCATACACTAAGCATTCGACAAAGGCCGCGAAAGTTAAATAGACAAGTTGGAAGATGGAATGAAGTTAAGCTTTTAGTGAGTTCCTAAATGTACAATGAATGAAAGAAAAATAAATGATGTCTGGTATGCAATGATGGATAAACTTGGAAACAAATACACAAACACACATACAGAGAGGTAGACAGAGAGAATTAACAAATATATACCATGTGACAGTAATAGGAAATGAACCTAATGGAGTTCACAATGACGTGTGATACCCTGTAACCATTTCTGATTTTACAATATATGAAAGAAATAGAATTGATGTGTTTGATGCAACAACGGATAACATTAAGGGAAGCAAATATAATACACACACACACACACACACACATATATTTATATATAGAGAGAGAGAGAAGGGGGAGATGGAGGGAGGGAGGCACTTACAAATCCAAATCCTGCAGTCTTGTAGTTCAAACCAATCATGGTGTACTTTTTACAATATTTTGCAAGGAAGAGCTTGATATAAGGAACCTCTTCAACTATTGCAGCAACTCCCCCATTTCTACTTCCAATGGAAAGGGCTTTGTCATACTCTTCAAGAGTGCTATAGTCTCTGAACTTGGACTTATCAACCTTCAGACTTTCCAAAAGCCCCTCAACAAAAGATCCCGTCTGATAGCCAACAAACTCTCCATTCCTTATGAGATCATTGACATTGGTGATGGTAGGTTCAAGTTTTTTTACTGTTAGCATTGATGTTAAGCTGGCTGTGTAACTGGAGGTCAGCACCAGCACCACAAACACCCATACAATTACCACAAATCTTGTTAAGTTGCTCATCACCTTCTCCTCTGCAAAATATTTTCACCACTATCAGAAGTCTTTTACAACAAAAGCTAACCAATCAGATCCAGAATACAGTTAGCAATCTACATTTGTTGTGTAAAAAATCAATATTGTTAGATTGGTTGCCACAAAGGCATTAAGGTCATCCTAGTGTAGTCACGCGATGGTGTTCGGAGGGCTAGACTAGATACAACCTAAGCTTTAGCCTGATTTGTACGAAGTGCCTACTCAAGTATGCATTCTCATGCTTCAGTAGGAATGATATTCTTGAAATAGATGAAGCATGCCTTTTCCAAGAATACGACTTATTATCGCAAATAGAATGATATTGTTTCAGCCATTTGGAGTACGGCACTTTAGTAAAATCTTCCAATCTTTTCATGCACTAAATGTAGGAGTAAATGAATCCTGAATGAACAAATTGTAGAATATATCTACTTCCCACATTCAGAGTTTTGTGAATTTGAGATAATGCTTGTGTAAAAACTGAGATAAGTTGTGAACTGACTCGCAATAGATAAAAATGTAGAGATTCCTATCTCCAAAATGATGAAAAGAACAATGTATGCAATTCTATGAAAGATGTATCTATTCTTCTATTGTTTACTGGGGGTGGTAGATAGGAAATTTAACTTACTATGAGCAAAAACAAGAGTTGAGAATGAGAACCAGAAGATCATTCCAACTTGTTTGTGAGGTGGACCACGGAACTCTTTGTTTACACGATGCTCAAGAACCCAGACAACAAAGCCAGTGGAAAAGAAAAATGCCCCTATTGTTAACCAGAGGTCCATTGTTAGAGGTTTCATGAAGATCCATGCATTCTTCCGCTCATCGGCCTTAATTGGAACAATCATGAATACACCAGATTCTGTGTAAGGTAATGTAAAATCAACATATTTGGATCGGTTTGCCAAAATGGTTATGTCGCCCACAACAGCATCGAATTTCTGGTAATGAACAAAAAAGTCAGTAACATAAATTCAGCCAGATAAGCAGAAGATAAGTTCAAAAAAATGAGCAGATTGCTATAGATGTTGAGCATTTTATCATACTTCTAAAGTTTCACCCTTACTCTAGTCACATCTATGCAGCACCTAGGCATTCTAGAAAGTGTACATTTAGATTTTGAATCATTACGTACCTCAAGAAAGACCTGATAAATAAATTCATCATAATTTCCATCGCTCTCACCAGCAGTTTCAAAGGGAACAAAATCATATGGGACAGCATATGGCAATGAATCCATGACTTCATTGAACACATCTATACAGAAACCAGTTGGAATGACAGCTTTAGTTTGAGGATCCATTTCCACTTTTAAAAATTCACCAAATCCACTTTTTGAAGGAACTCCAACCCTTAACCTCTTCTCACTTGTCGGCATCTCCCAACCTTTGGGAACCACATTAGATTCACCAGGCCATATAATGGTTCGAAGATCATCCTTCTTGGTGCTGTAATTCTTCTTACTGGGCATCAGTTTCTCTGAAATGCCATACTGTCGAGTCCAAAATCCAATTTCCCTCCCCCCTTTTCCATTTATATTCACTATCTGAAAGGCCAATGGCTGCAACTGTCCATCAACAAGATGGAAATCACCACTTAAGCCTTTGAATCTCATATTTCGGATTGATTGCAGTAGTTTAGGTCCCATCTCTGAGGTCCCAATTGCAGCAAAGTCTGTCAAGTTCTCTCTAGCGACCGGTTTGTTGAATATAGGCTGAGCAATATCAGCACTCTCTATTGCCATCGCCAATGCCATGACACTATCATATGCCCACATCCCATATATATTTAGTTCAATCATATCCGTTTCTGGATTCTCTTGATGAAATCTCTTTCTCCATCTCCTAGTGAAGTTGTCCAGCTTCATGGATCTTGGGATATAAGGCTTCACACCTAGTACTCCTTGCATTGAATCAACAACCGTATACTCCAAAGAATCCAAGAGACTTGTAAGCACGTCTGTGATGATCCAGGCATATCCCTCCCTCATCATTCCAGCTTCTTTTGCCTTTAAGAAAAGGCGCGAAGCAAGAGGGGGTAGCATATGCACCACAAAGACTCTAGATTGCATGGTCATTAAATGGTAGAGTTCTTGAAGGATTTGATCATCCGTAGCTGAAGGAGATATAACACTTCTATAGGGAACTTTAGTACTCATTTTTTGCAAGGCATCAGTTAAATATGGAGCAATCCCTCTTCCAAAATCGTTGTCATCGTAGAGCAACACTACTTCCCTCCAACCAAAGGCTTTAACCATTGCAACAATGGCATCAACCTGAGAGGAGGCATTCTGTGCTGCTCGGATGAAGTAGGGAGTTTCCTTGGGTGAGATAAAAGGACTTGTTGCGTGAGAAATTATAGGAACTTGAGCTTTGTTCCCAATATCAATTACAAAATCTGCTTGTGTGGAACTTTGTGGTCCTAGTATTGCCTGTACTTGGACATATTTTATCAGGTCTACAGCTGCAATCAAAGTTCAAAAAATAGTTAGATCCCACCACTTGAAATAACTTTTCAGTCGAGGTCTAGCTTTAGAAAAAGTAAGCACATAAATTTTCACAAACCATAATACAATTATGAACTACTTGTACAAGTATGCTACAATTTTGCGCTGAGCGGTACTGAAAGCATTGTAAGAACTAAAAAGTGGATTACACAAATACAAACACATGTCCTGTGCTATATACATGCATCTACTCAAATACAAACACATGATTTGTGCAAGATGATAACTATCAATTCGATGCAATGAATTAAGTAAGTAACTGAATTGTGCAGCAATATATAAACATAATTTAGGAAGAGCATAGACAAATATCGGCATTTATGTGTTTGTGTGTGTATACTATATATAATTATATATGTACCTGCAGATGCTGCCTCAACGATATCATTCTTGGAATCCCTTTTATGAAGGACAATCCTTGTGTTGTAATTGTGGTTGGCATAGAAATCATCAAGTGCCATGAACATGCATGTCTGACTCATCTTTCCCGCTATGGTGTCCAAATTAAGGATCAGCCCAACATCAACATTAGTTGTTGCATTTTGACCCTCCACTGGTGCACTGGAAAAGCTCATCAACAAAATTAGAAGCAAAGAGAAAAGGGAGGAGAATCTTGAGTTGAGCACATCAAGCTTTGATGAGGCCATCCCTATTAAGTTGGGTCAAGTCCCAACTTTATAATGTACTTTTTGTTTTTATAAATGAGAATCATAGAGTAAGAAGAATAATAAGCTTGAAGGGATATATATATATATGACACCTTTGACTGGGACAAAGATTAGACTAATTTGCTCAGTGTATATATCCCAATTTTATAATGTACTTTTTGTTTTTATAAATGAGAAACATAGAGTAAGAAGAATAATGAGCTTAAAGGGATATATATATATATATATATATATATATATAACACCTTTGACTGGGACAAAGATTCGACTAATTTGCTCAGTGTATATATCCCAATTTTATAATGTACTTTTTGTTTTTATAAATGAGAAACATAGAGTAAGAAGAATAATGAGCTTGAAGGGATATATATATATATATATATATATATATATATATATATATATATATAACACCTTTGACTGGGACAAAGATTAGACTAATTTGCTCAGTGTATGTATATTCCACGGAGAGAAGATATATTACGTGGGTTTGCTTCCCACTAAATGATTTATTCAAAATATTTTGAATAATAAATCATTACCCTGCACTTCAGGGAACTGTGTGTTTGTGTGTGTAGGATATTTGCTATTTTGAGATGAGGATAAGCAACAACGTGTAGTACAGTATCATCCTTGGGTTGTAGATTTCCTAAAATCTTGTGGTTTGTGTATCACTTTGACTAAAATCATAAGAATTGAATAAGAGACCGACATTTTATTAGTACCTTGATTTCCAAGAATATCAGCAATTGTTTTGAACTTTGAAGGTTACAGGAAATTTCATAAGAATAATTATATACAATAACAATAATCTTGGGCTGACTTTTCTACAAGAATTAACCATGAATGTTGCTAAATGTTGTCAATGATGCAAGAATTAACCATGAATGTATGCTCACTGCTGTCAATCTGAGAGTAAAGATAGACAGCTTGAACAACAAGACCTGTGTGTGTAAATTAGTAACCAGTGATTCAATTATTGAGGCATTGGCATGACATACCTTAAATTTGAGGCGACTGTCGGTGTTAGTTGTTTTCAATGGTCATGGACACTACACGTACCGTGGTATAAGAATGAGAATGGGCCCTAACACGGTTTGGACCAAGTCCCCAATTGTTAAGGGTTCAGTTTTCAACCTCATGACTTTGGTACTTCTTCCTGTGTCTTTGATATATGAATCCCTAGCTAGCTAGAGACAGAAATCTGGAGTCCACTCTCATTTCTTCTCCCTGCTTAGCAGCAATCTTTGAACATACTGAGAGACTTCTCGTAAATTCAAGAAAGAGAAAAGGTATAAAAACTGTACGAAACCAGAGTAATTTTTCAAGCCATAGCGTGTGTGTATATATAATATATATATATATAGATCTTTTAATTCACAAGTGTACGTTCAACTTGGGCTACATAAGAAGGAATTTTTTCTAACGAGTGAAAAAATATTGACATGTGTCCCAAAAATTATGTAATATGTAAAAGAACAAAAATGTATGAAACCCAAATTTAATGGGTTAACCCAACTCATAATAATAAGTTATATGTATAAAAGAGCATATAGAGGAGTATTTCATACATTTTCCTTCATAAATAGATACTAATTCTTAGATAATGATAAGATTTTAATTTTGTGTAATATAAATAAATAGTTTTGTATATGTAATATGAATTCTATCAATGTAAACCATCACGTCTTTGGTGGGCTAGCAGTGATGGTGGGGCATGGGCCTGACACACAAGAGGTCAGTGTTCGAGTCTTCTACCAAGCCTTTTAGTTTCGTACATTAATTTGGTGTTGTAACTATAGGGTCGGCTGCAGTATCTCCACTTTGATGCTCGGAATGAGTCCGAAGGCCTTGGGTAAAAAAATAATAATAATAATTAAAAAAAAAAATGTAAACCATGGATTGTCAGCATCTTACATGGATTGTCAATTTATTCCCACGGGCTTTGTTCCCAATGATATTTGACATTGAGTTCGAATTTCGAAAAGGGTAGGTAGAGTGGGTGGTCAATAACAGAAAAATAAAATAAAATAAATAAATAATAAAATATTCTCATTAACTCTCCTCTCGCCCAACACTCATCACTCATCCAATTGTCCACCACAATTATCCAAAACTGTAAATAAAACTCATTGCACTCCGTCTATTTTCACCTAAATTTATTTTTAAAAAAATATATATTTTTTTAAGATAAAATATTCTTTTAATTTTTATTTTTTCAAATAAAAATTTACGTTGAGATTAAGATTGAGTCTATCAGACAGACATGTAAAATAATTTGTCAAAAATTAATGAATAAGTTATTTTTATTAAATTTTTTTTTTTCTTTGTAAATATTTTATGACAAACCAAACACCAGAAAATAAAAAAGTATTTTACATCCAAACAAACGAAACCTTAACGCTTCAGTTTCGAAACTCTCTTGGTTTTCAACAATTAGTCTTTTTTCTTTTTATTATTTTTTTTCTTTCATGTAACGCTCAGCTTAGATTTCATTTCAACTCATTTGCATTCTAGTTGTTAACCTTTTAACACTTGCCTAGGTTTTCTCTAATAATTAAAAAAATTGACCATTTGCTTTTTACCAATTTATGATATGAAACTAATTCTCATTGTACTACTACTTTTAGAAAGTTAGTTGGTTGTCGAGCAAAACACATCTCCATTATAATGCAGTTATCTGCACAAGGATAATCACATAGATTCTGAGCTGTTGTCAATGGAACTGAGTGTCATTAAAGGTTTGAAATCTGTTATCTTCCTTTTGGAGATAAGTTTATGATAGATCAATCTTACTTGAGGCACTTTCAATGGGGTTCAAGCATTATAGGGACGTTCTCAAGGAGTTGTGGCATTTAAAATGGTGCCAACAATGATCTGGAAGACATGATTTTATTTTTATTTTTTTTATTTTTAATATATTGATGGAAAAAAAAGTAATCCTAGGCAGGGGCGGAGCTAGGATTGCAAAGTTGGGAGGCTAAAGATAATAAAATTTGAAGATGAATACAATAAAAGTTGTGAAATATTAGAAAATTTTCTTATAGAAGTGAAATATGGTAAGAACTGTTGGGAAATGTGCAAGTTTTAAAAACTTTTCGAGGGATTTTGATTCATAGATCTTGATTCATCACATAGAAACAAGTTTTATGCAAAAATAAAAATATGATGTATCATTCAATTAATGAATTGAATACTTACATCAAAGGTCTGAGTAAACTTTTAAATCTTTGCTCTAAAGTGAATGTTCTCACTTATTGTAGATCCCTTAGTAAGATACCTTCTCATTAGATCTCCATCTTCTTGGTAATTGTTTTGCCTTTAGGAATCACTCATAAGCCTCCATGAATGACCTTAGAAAATTAGGCTTGTGGGAGCCTCCATTAGATGAGAACATAAACCCTAATTTTCTAGAGAGAAAAAATAAATTCATTTTTCCTTCTTCTAAAAATCATCCCCAAAATATACATAAACCATGTATATTTATAGGCAACATAAAGGTAAAGAAAAAGAAATAACGAATCCTTCTCAATCTCTAATTTACATGTCTCAAATCTAATATGATTCCAATATCAAGTTGGGCTATGAGTGAGAATCCATTGGGCCTATTATTTTATTGGCTACAATGAATTAATAATTGGCCCGATCCATGGACCCAATTCAATTAATTCATAAATTAATTTTTACTCCACTAAAAGAAATTAATTGAACTCCAATTAAATAATAAATAACCTTTAAGTCAATATTACACTTTGACCCCTCTATGCATAATTAGTTATCGGATAAATAAAGCCATCAATCCGACTACTTAATGAATATATTTATTTTGGTACCTTTGATTATTTCTGGCTCGATCACAATAAAACATTTGTTTGACAAAAATAATAATTTAAATAAATAAATATATAATAAATCATTTTATCTGAAAACACACGAAGGCCTTCAAATTTACTTTGTGATCAACCATAATCAATACAAAATAAATACAAGTAGTAATGATACAAATATTGAAAATATAACCCTCTAACTATTAATTACATAACTACCCAAAGTGTCGATCTAAGGATCCCGAAGAATCCGCCGAACAAATCAAAGTAATTATTAATTAATAAAAGAGTTTATATTTTTCTCATGCTTAAGAGTCAAATGCCATGACGGTGATAGGGAGTAATTACATACGACGGCTTTCGCAATATATCTCAACCTAATGCGGATCCAGTTCAAGTCTTAATTAATTATGAGTCCATCCATAATTACTGACTATGAACAATTTATGATTACTATTTATATATCATGCATTGATTGCCATCACATACATATATATAAATATCTCTTGTAATCAAATGGACACTATCAATTCTATAATGAATCGAAATATAATACATTGAATTCACCAGTTGTATAAAACATAAATATTTCAGAAACGTCAGGAACATATGTCACTTAATCCAAACAAGAATTTGCTATGCCGGGGCATATAAATCCCAACAGCTCCCACTTGCCCTCATAGCCAATTCAAATTGCACCTAACTCCAATGTTATCCAGATGATGATCAAAATTATTGATCAATGACACCTTTAATAATGGATCAACAAAGTTGTGTTCCAATGCAATGTTCTAGCTACAAGTACTTTTTCTTACCGGACAATATCATGTAGAACATGATACTTCCTCTCAGTGTATCTTGTTCCTCTATAGAACCTTGGGTTATTGGTTTGGACTACTTCTGCACTATTGTCACAATATAGCTCAATAGGCAGGCTAGTATACTCTACAACCTCTAAATCAGTGAGATCAAACCAATAGGCTTCCTCCACCGCCTTTAAGGCTGCAATATATTCCACCTGCAGGTTTGAGTCAGTAGTTGAAATCTGCTTAACAATCTACTAACTGATTTTCCTTTCATTAAGTGAACATACACTAAGTCATGAACCTCATAGTATCTACTTCTGATTGAAAATCAGAACTAGCATACCTGACTAGGACCATATCATCACATCCATAAATGAGTATGATATCATTGGTTCTCCTTAGGTACTTAATGATATTTTTCACAACAGACCAGTTATCAAGTCCAGGATTGGACTGATATCATCTTACTATCCCTACAATGTAGCGGATGTCGTGTTCAGTATAGACCATGGCATATATGAGACTCTCATATGCCAAAGCATATAGTTCCAGTCTCATTTGCTCAATCTCCTCTACTAGTCTTGGAAAACTACTTACTAGAGAGAGCAATCCATATCAATAAAGCAAGAACTCATTCTTTGAGTTATGCATACCAAACCTGGTCAAAACTTTATCAATGTAGGATTATTAAGATAAGCCTATTTTCCTTTTAACCTGATCTTGCAAAAGCTTGATCCTAGGAATATAGCTTACATCTTGAAAATCTTTCATTTAAAAGTAATTGAACAACTACCTTTTTATTGATGACAAAACTTCCACGTCATTATAAATGAGTAGGATGTCATCAATATATAGAATTAAGAAAAAAAAAATAATGACATTCCCTTATACACTCATGATTTATTCACTAAGAAATCTTCTGGTATCTTTTTGTAGATTAACTTGCTTTCCATAGGAATCACCCTACTAGAAAGTTCTACAAGATCCCAGAATTTATTAGAATACTTAGATTCCAACTCTGATTTCATAGTAACTCGACAAAACGATCTGTATCCATATCGGTTCACGCTTCTGTGTAGCTTACTGGGTCCAACTCATGTTTAACAGGGATGTCCATAATGGTCTCACCTAAAAACATGATTCTGTCGGATTGGATGATAATCCTCCCACTACATCAATGTACCGATGCAAGAATCTGTGTACTAGATGATGCTAACGCATCAATAGGGAATTCATATATTATTCTCAATCTCTATAATAAGTGTGTTCACATGTGGTACATCTGGTACTCATACCAAATTCTCTAACATTATTCTATTAGGTATGTGATTCATAATATGATTCTCCTATAGATAAACAGTGAGTGAAAACAATCAACTTTTATCTTAAAATCATAAAATAATCTGTCCTAGTGACTTTTAGAGTAGCTATCAAATCTATCATGCGTATGATCTGTTTCCAACTTACTTGTCTATATCAAGCGCACATGTGCAAGACTACCCCATATGTGCATGTGATTCAAACTAAGATTTAGTCAAAAACACAGCTCAACGGTATCCTTGACACAGACTAAGATAGAATGCAGTTCATAATATGCATCGATGTCAATAACGCTAAACTCTTAAATGAAAGAGATAATATAGCATAACAGATCATAGATCTAACCATGTTAATC